GCATGTTGCACAATGTTATTTTTGAATAAAATATGATTTTTTTCAACAACTCATTTGTATTTCTTCATTTACTGTATTTCTGTAAACTCAAGCAATCTTTCTTTGCAGAAACTTCTATGTACAGAGCATAGCCCATAACAGATGAAAGTGCTTTAGATTATTCTCTGCAGTGTGTAGTTAGGTGGTCAAACAATCTAGTATTATGAATGAAGTGTGTTATATTTGGTGCAAAAGTTTGCATTTGGTAAGTGTTTATATAGTCTTGATGGCAGTTCTTCATTTAGCAGGAGAAATTAGGTGTTTTGCACTTTGGGTCTGTGGTTTTGTGAATTGTGTTTAGTGTTCTGAGAAACTGAGCAATTTAAAAATAGTCTTGTGTTAGCAATCGAGAAAAACTGTAAGCAAATGTTCAACTACATGTTTGCATGTATTGTGCATATGAGTTAAATATAAACACCCACGATGAGCCATATAATTTAAACGCATACATCAAATGTGTCAGTGTTGAATGCTAGTCTAAAGTAAACTGTTTCTGTCAGATTCATGCTAGTGCATTGTTAGGACAGTACTGCCTTTGCTAGCCTCCAGACTTCTTTCCTTAAGTGTGAGCGCCATCTAGTGGCCATGTGTTGTGAATGCAAACAAACCAAATAACAGAGCAGAGCCCAAACTACATGCAGCATCTGAAAATGCCACTGAGTCCTAAAAATGAATCATTAACAAAGGTCTAAGGTTTGGTATGTTTCCTCACAGGATGGCATACAATACTTTTTCATTATCGAGCACAATTAAATCAATTGCCTATGTATTTCCCCTCCACCTCACTTCGTAAGTTAAAAACGACACGCAGTTTGAATATGATTCTGCTGGGAATAGCACAATGATGTTGATGCGATATAAAGGGTATCATTACACTGAGCAAAGGCAGCAATTATTAGCTCATAATAAAGTGGGTTAACTATGTTTTTCAGTGTGAACTTCAACAATAACTCACGTTGTGTAAACTGGTTGAAAATGTCGATGTTCTGCTTTTCTCCGTTAACTGTTAAGGGGACATGCTTGAGAGACTAATGGTGAGCACGAAGTTAAGAATAATCAAATGAATATACTGTAGCACTTCTTAATAATATAGACTAACGATAACGTATAACTTACTGCTAATATGTAGATCATTAGAAATGAATGTCTAATATGCTGGCTAACGCATTCAGACTATTTTTTTTATATTCAGCCCTGAGTATTGAAGAATATGGTTTCGTTATACAAGGCTCCAAACAAAAACTATATATATATACATATATTTTTTAAGTTGCTTTATTTAAACGGTTTTATTGTTCGTCACTTCAGATATAAGGCGGTTGTAGAATAGTAAACGTAGTGTACCTCCGCACTACTTAATAATATGAGCTTATTATATCATTAGGCCTACTACATGTTTAATATATTAAGTTCTGGGTCTGGTCATTCAGCAGCAGTTATAAAGTGGTTACTATTTTAGCAAACACATTATGCCTATTTTCAAGTATTCTACTCATAATTTACTCTTTTGGTATTTAAGCAAAACTTTGGGAAGCTTCTCCATTGCTAAGAAGTTAACCGTGGCTTTTTTTAAGGCGACCTTGGCGTTAATGTCTTCCAGCGTAAAGCTACGATATGTTTCCTCAATTCAACCTTTAGATTATTAACTAGTGCATCATCTGGTTACGTTGCTTTGAATTTGTATTTAATAAATGTTAACTATTTTACAGACGTTCTCCCTGCAGTGAATAAAGTTGGTCAATCTTTCTATGTCTTTCCGAAATGTTGACTTTAGTTTCATTCAGACTTTAATTATTCTTTCATTCAAATGTGGAATTTAATTAACAGGCCTGCATTCAACTTTTCTCTAGTAAAATCTCATCACTTACAGCATATTTATTCTAAATAATTCCGTTTTGAAAGTGCCTTTTTGTTTGTCAGGTTTTTCCAATCCACAACCGAACAAATTATCCTTTTTGACATTTAAATGTCGAAAACGTGGCTACTAAATATAGTCAATACATTGGTGCAGCTGAACATTTTTTCACACATCTGTAATCCTGCTCTATAAAATCCTGAAGAGCCATATTACTTTTGAATTAAGCTTTACGGGGTTTCAAATGTTCCCTCAGCCCATAGACATAATTAGAAAATAATTACAAAACCAATTTATATTTTAAGGTAAACAGGGAGTCTGCTTGTTGTAACCTCGACGTCTTGTGAAATATGTCACAGAATTAAACTAAAACTCACGTGTGCTTCCACTGAGTCCAAACACGGAGATTTCAACATGTGGAGATACAAGGCAGCTTTTTCTTAGCCAAGAGAACTTGAACGAGGGAAGCTGCAAGTTTATTACCAAGGACAATAGACGGCGGATATGTTCCTTCAAAGAGTCTGGAAAACAACCAGACTGAGGCTCCTCAATTTGGCTCCTGACACCCTAAACATGAAGGACGAAGAGCAGTAAATGACAGTAAAACGGAACACTAAAACTTCTAATTTTGTGATAGTGTGAGCCCATCTGAAGGTTAATGGTTAAACGTCACGTACAGCAGCATTTTAAGCCTGAATGCCCAAAATACAAAAATTTTCATTATTGTATCTATCGAGGGGAAATTGGACGCATTCGCCCCGCAAAGTTTTGTTAAAACAACCACGTTTTGAAAGTTATTGCAATTAAAACTTGACAGCGATTGCGTGTATTTCCTTTTTTGTTGGATTCGTTTTTCCACAAGTTTCTTATGCGATGAACATAATTGTATTCATGCTGCTCATTGGCAGTCTCTTTTACATTGTTTCAGCCCTGAATATTGAGAACGCACTGTATAAACTTTTGAAAATAGTTTCAATATGGAAAACAGAGGTTCCAAACGAAACTATTTAAAAAATAAGCTTTCAACTAAAACGTCTTTATTCATACTTTGTCACTTTAGTTATAATGCTTTTGTAATATCGTTTTCTTTGTTTTTATTTAGTATATGCAGTATTTATTTTTCAGACTTGTATAATATAATATATCAGTCTTATTACAATTATTGTTTTCTATAAATCTATATCTACATCTTTGATTCAAATGAATCCCAGTCTTTTTTTATTCTCTGAAATGAATCCCACTAAAATACTTATTTTGCCAGCTGTTTTGTTATTGTTTCCCCTAGTTCAAAGACACTATCAACAGCAATTTGCAAAAGAAATACACGTTATTGTAATTTTGGCACTTGTCTTACCTTGGCTGCTGAATAAAGGCACAGTGCACACACTAGTCGCTCAGTCTGCAACAAAGACTTTGAAAGCAGTAAAACTACACACAACTCCAGCAGTGACCGAAACTGCTGATGTTTAATTGCGGAATTAAGTAACTGACTAACAAGAAGAGCACAGGCAGCATCCAGGATGGAGGCCATATGAATGTATACTGCCACCTATTGGATGACAGCCGTCATTTCTCATATGATAGTGGATTGTGGTAGTCAAACTTGTCTATTTTAGCCATAAAAATTTATCTTTTTAACATTGGTGTCTCAGGGCTGATTGGCTCCAAAAAAATCAAAATATATATAAATAATAGTTTGATCAAGCAAAAAAACAGTCACACACACACACACACACACACACACACACACACACACACACACACACACACACACACACACATCTCACTTGTTCCTGATCTAAGACATTTCAGGGAGGTATTGCACTGCAGAAAACAATTCATACCATGAACAATAGCTCGAGTATAGTAGATGCAATATTGGAAATATTATCCAAATACGCTATTGTAGTGATGATTATGAAACGCAGTTGTGCGTTTCATAATCATCACTATAATAGCAGTTCCGTTTACCAGATACAAGTGTCCCCAATGGTGCAGCAGCACTGACAATATTTAATAGTCCTAGGACTCCTGCACTTTGATCACTATTTACCGAGAATTGTAATCTTTATACAATTTGTAGAGATAGTGTAGTCTAAAGATACTAGGCCTAAATATTATTACATTTTATAAGGTGCTAACATTTGACTGGATGTCGAGATTGTAAAGTAAGGTTGCCACGCATAAGTCTTTTTACAGATATGACTGTTTTATGGTTCTTCTTCTTTTATTTGGAAAAAAATATCGTTTTTCACGGCCCTATCAACCTAACTGCGAAGAGGACTGCATTTATTTTTATTTAAAAAATAAAAGTGTTACTAAACAAACATGTAGTGAACGCTGAAAAAACATTTAACACTAATTCAAGTTTCTCTAAAAGAAGACGTGAGTTATTGAAATAGGGATATTTATCAATGCATTTATAAATCTCAGTAGGCTATTGCAGGCCGACATGTATGAAGGTTACATTGTTTACAAAGGAGTGACCACAAGGAAAACAACACATCCCAACAATATGTCCAACAAAGTAATAGTGTGAGGCTTACTGTTACATTGTTGAGCTTGCATGGGGAAAAGGTATTTTTATTTTACGACTTGTCTTTATTGCACTGTTTTTCAGTAAAAGCAAGAAAACACTGACGTTAGATTTCACATTTTACTCTGTATAATTATAATATTTGCACTGGAATATGTCCTTTTTCATGGAGCTTATTTAATCGCATGATAAATTTGAATATGGGAGATGGTCTCCTGTGGTGCATTTAAGGCTCAGGATCATTTACCCTGGTTCTCTATCCACTCAGACACCTTGTTATTCTTCAATGATACCAGAGATTCAACGCATTTACTTTTGGAAGTAAGAGCCTCTGACATTGAAATTGACACAAGTCAAATATTCTTGTGTTATTCCAGACTAAACAGATGGTTGGATCTGAACTTCATCCCCCACCCACTCAATACCAAAATATGTGCTCATGGAGTATTTTTGCTTTGCAGTATTGGGAGCAAGGGTGGGGCGGAACAACATATTTTGCATATCACGTGATGCCGTATTAACAAATCACCAATTACCTACCCTTTATTCTTCAGGAGTTGCTAACAGGCTTGCAAGAAGCGTTTGAGTAAGGCTCTATGGAGATGTGTGAGCGGAATCCTTTAAATCCTGGCTATGTTGGTTCTCTGCTGAATTTTACTCCTCCTGAGTCGCTGTATTTCTCCAACTTGCGCGGTAATGGAGCCCACATACCCGGGCTGCAGATCCCTTACAATAGGAGAGAGGTGTGCACGCTCCCGTGGATTTCCTCAAGTTCGTGCACGTCTGGACCAGCAGCACCGCCACCGAGCCGCGCCTTTGGAGGCTACTGTCCTCCGTTTCTGTCCAACTCGTTGTCTTTAAATACGAACTCGTCCAGCGGCCACATCAAGGCGCATCTGGAGGAGACGGTTCGGGGCTTTCAGGTCACAAACCACAAGACAGAGGAGTCTGGGAGGCGAGAGGAGGCTTATGTGGGGGATCATGTTGGCAGTGACCGCGGGTTCTCAGAGCTGGACCGCCGGTCTCACGGTTCTGCGGCCCAGCTCGATCCGGATTCAGCAGGTCCACTTAATGTGAACAGCACCAAACAGGAGCAGGATCCCATTCAACCATCATCCAGTCACACATGCTCCAGGACGTCTTTTGCAGAAGGTAAAGTAGCCTGTTGTATAACTATTTTATACAATTGTATCTCAATATAGAATATACAAGCAGTGGTTATTGTGCCTTATGTCATGTTAATTACGCTTCTACCACTTGTTACGTCAAAAGATAGTTTCATTTTCCATCAAAACATATTATTATATTAGTTTCTGAAATGAGCGAAAATTACTATGACTACTTTATGGCCTGTGTATCTTCTGTGGCATGATTATTATTTTATTATTCCAATAATATACATAGCTGGGGTTGATGGTGATATTATCCATATTTGCATTATGTAGGCAAGCCCACTAATGTTATGTTGTTAACCCGTTTTTTGTTGTTGTAGTCTTGTGCAACACTGCAGGCAGTGCCACTGGGAGCTGTCAATCCAGCCAGTCTGTATCGCTGTTCCTGACGTTGGTGTTAATTTAAAGTATAAAACTTGTTTCTACCTCTGCTCCATCAGGTGCCCCATGGTGCTCGTCACAAGTGAAAATCAGAAAGAAGAGAAAGCCATACACCAAGCTGCAGCTGGCTGAACTTGAGAATGAATTTATGATGAATGAATTCATCAACAGGCAGAAACGGAAGGACTTGTCAGAAAGACTGGACCTCAGCGACCAACAGGTGAAAATATGGTTTCAGAACAGGAGGATGAAGAAGAAGAGATTGATAATGCGCGAACATTCTTTCTCCGCATACTGACGACCTTTGGACTTGATCATGACCAGCAGCGCACCGAATATGTTGTACTATAATGCAGCAAAACAAAAGCACACACACACTTCGGTTTGTGGCATGGACTTGTATTTATAGATGTATAAAAAAATGATTATATTCCTGCCACATACGAGGCTGTAGTTTTATCCAATAAAAATGCAACAATATGAATAGAACTGAAAATACATTGCAGATTCAAATATTATCCGTTTGACTTAAGTGTGCATTTTAGATACTGAGATTCTCCAAATGCGCACAGGCCCTGTTGGCCTGCAGCCGCAGATGATAAAACAGCTTAACACCCTATTGTTTGTAACTTAAAAGTAAAAACTGTTTAAACAGGAATATGTTTGTATATTTGTGTGTGTATTTTGTTTTATGGCTTGCATGGTGTAGGCCCAATGTGGAAGCAGACAGTCAAGTTCATGTTTACGGACGGAATGAACATTAATCATATGGTATTGCGAAATATATTAATTTTGCATGTCTATTTCCTTATTGCTGTTATTGAATGACATGCCTGTTTTTTTCCTCAATTTGTTGTAAATCTAATTAAATAATCAAACTAACATTATTTCTGCTCTTTTGGGCCACGTCCACACCCAAAATCTGTGGAGGACAAGAATTGTTCCGCATTTGGTTCCAGTATGTGTTTACTTCAAAAGCCTGAAAAAGAAATGTTTGTGGATACGATTATTTTTATGCTTTTGATTTTTAACTATATAACTGTTAAAGTGATTTCTGTTCTCGTCACACCTGTTTTTGTATCACTAAGGGATATTATACTGGACAATAGATCTAAATCAGTATTATTATTTTTTGAATACCTAAGCAATTAAATAATATTTCTTTAAATATTATCTATAATTTCGGATTGAACATATTGAAAACTATCTCTGAAATAATGTTTTTGAAGGAATACGCATTGCACCAGCCATCTTTTACGCACGGATACGTGATCTGCAGATGAACACATTTGTAAATAAAGATCATTTTGAAACTACCTAAAGACAAGTGTGTGTGCATCATGTGAATAATTCTACTTTTGAGGTGTTATTTTTAATTGCGAGTGTATGGGCTTCATGTTTATATTCTGAATTCATGCCCTGCACTACTCCTACCCAATTTGAAAGGTTTTAAAGAGGGCTCGATAGGATTTACTTTGGAAACCTCAGTGTTTTTTCGCTACCTGCAGTGATGGAGGGATCAGCCTATGCGTGTTTTGTACTTAAAATAGACTGAATTCTCCTCACTTTATGAATCGACCATGCATGCGAGCAAAGTATTTGTTAATATACTCATACATATCTTTCCAGAAAGCAATACCCCACTTACTTTAAATTAAACGTTCCACTGCATTTAGTAGTAAATGTGTCTACATAAAGTAGCTTCAAAGGTTGTATAATATTTAATAAAATGTTTCACAGCCAGCAGAACAAAGCCACCCACTGCTTTAAAAAATATATATGTTCTGTCTTCTTTGGTTTTAATTGTAAATCAAATTGCAAATTGCATTTATGTTGTATCTTATGTTGCAGTTGTCTTCATTATTAGTCACATCTTCTTTTGTGAGCATATGTTTAGCTTTCTTAGCCACGTAGCATAGCCTATACACGCACGCAACACACACGCAACACACACACACACACACACACACACACACACACACACACACACACACACACACACACACACACACACACACACACACACACACACACACACACACACACACACACACACACACACACACACACACACAGGCCAAACCTCCACATGTCAAGGAGTTAACATTGCTTGGACCAAATGGAAACTTTGTCTGGTATGTTTCAGAAGTAATTCAATATGCATCCTTTACTTTGTTCAAAATGCAATTCTAACCCCAAAACAGGCTCTTTTTGTGCGTATTACAAGATATTCTGTAGGCGTTTGTGTGTGTCTTTGCACAGTGGTAGCCTGTGTGTGTGTGTGTGTGTGTGTGTGTGTGTGTGTGTGTGTGTGTGTGTGTGTGTGTGTGTGTGTGTGTGTGTGTGTGTGTGTGTGTGTGTGTGTCTGGGTCATTGTTTATATGTACCAATACTCTTCTTGTTTTTTCTAATACTTTGAGAATTGACGGTTCTGAAGCCACCAGGTCACCAGTGGTCAGGCTGTTTATTAAAGGAAAGGCTTAACTGACCCTATCAAAGCACTGCTAACCACCATTACCAAGGCCTCTGTACGTGAAACGTGACATGAGAGTGAATCTATTAATGGGCCCTCCCATTACATCATTGTCACGTCATCATCACCGCATCACTGCAACACGAACACACCACTGCAGTCATAATAAAGGTTCACGAGAGGCAGTCACATTTAATTTGCTAAAGAAACGCGAAGAGATGGTTATTCAATCAACAACTGTCTGTCTCTTTACCACCACTTGTATTTTATTTTTGCGGAATTATTGTGACCAACTGTCATTTATATTTGTGCAATCTTAATATTATTTAACTATGATAATTCGCACTGAATCTACACTCTTATATTCGTATGGTTCGGTTTTGTTGTCCCAACTCGAGGTTTGTGTATTTTTCTCAGTTTAAAATCGTTCCCACAAGTGCTTCACTGACTATTAGTGTTTATTGCTCAGTCTATTTTGAAAGGCTGTACTGAGTTTTCTATGCATTCAGAATGCAGCGTTTCTCTTCAGTATTTGTGTTATTGCTTTACTGCCAAACGCAGACTGCATCATATAGCTGCTTAAGATATGGGGGAGCCCAAACAAAGTTATGGTCAAGTTAGTGGCCTAAGTTATTTAGCTGTTTAGGCTGTGCCTTTTTCCACAATATTGGCACAACACCTATTTGTGAGTAGGTAGGCTACACATGTCTTGTTTTGTGCTTTAATTCAGTGTTTACTGCAGTAACTTTATACTAGGTTTTCTTTTTAATCGTTTTTAATACTAGTTTGATTTCTTTGGTCTTTTTTTTTTTACACTGTATCTTCTTTAACTGGGTTTATGTATGCATAATTTACACCAAGGCTACTTCCTCGTATGTGAACTTGGCAATAAACCTGTTTCTGATTCTGAAATAATTTCAAGTAAATAACGACATTAAGAAGTAGCTTCTCATTTATATTAGGTAAATGTGTAGTAGCCTTTTAAGGGTAAAACAGAGACATGGCTTGGTTATTCAGTCATGTGATTAGTTGGCCTTTTTTCTTTAAAAAATTGTTTTGCTTGTTTGAATAAAAACGACTTCACTTTTAGTTTGATACGTGAATGCAGTTCTTCTGCCAGGACTGTTTTATAAGGTTTAGCGTTTCGAATGTGTTTGAAAAAAATATATGTATATAAAGGTTTTGGTGCTTCATAACATAAAATAAGGTGCATAGATTATTAGTTAGTTGTTGTTGCTGTTACGCACAAACGGGCCAAGCAGTTCGACCATTAAAGTTGCAGTGATGTTTGCTCTCTTAAAACTCTTACTTGTAACATCTGTCATTTAAAATGTTAATTTTTGAAGAGAATCTGTGAATAATCTGTTTTGCTAACCACATTTATGATTGCTCGTTATGCTCAGAACCTAAAACATTTCCCAATATTTTAGAACAACAGTGCACAAATGATCGAGGAGATAACGATACAAATAATTATTGTAATAATGACAAATACTCATTTAAAAAAGTCTTTAGCACAAAAGGAGATAACAAATAAATTAAAAAAAACACAAGCTAAAAGAAACAGTCACATAAGTGATAATCAACAGGTCGCATTCACTTTGGGGGTTAAAAAAGTGAACGCCTAAATAATAAGTTAACACTTTAATAAAAAAATGTAAACACTCCAATGCTGAGTATTGCTTCGATGAGATTTGTTTTAGTTATGTTTAAACTGTGCGTCGGATTATTTCAGAAATGTCACATTTTCCCTCTATTTTAAGATTTGAATGTTAACTTCATTTTGCGTGTTGTAAACTGCCTGAGGGGTTTTCACGTGAAGTGCGATAAAGGTTGGAAAGGCGACCACAGAGCGGATTTTACCCCCAATAACAATAAACCCAGCCGCCTTTAAGCTACTTTCACATTGCGTGTGACCTTCAGGCTTTAAGCATTGAAGAATCTGCTTGTCCTCTGAATACAATGCTCCCATTCAGATTTTAGCTGGAGTTCCACATATAGGTCGACAAATTATATTATTTTGTTGTGCTCAATGTCAAGCATCAGGCCTGCAAACACTGGACAAGGATTTATTTAAACGTTTTTTCTGTTTTACGAGTGATACAATACAGTATGAAAAATAAAGATCATACTCACAGAGGATACCCTGACTATTGCTGCAGCCTGGTAGATATGTGTATCCTTTCACCAGTGTTTTAACTCCGTTTTCTCTGCCGAGAAGAGGGCCCTAAACTCTGCTGGCATGGCTGCCTTCGTGTAATAAAAGGATCTGGGTGCAGAGACTTGTCTCTGAATACTCTGTGGACATCACCTAGACCACAGACGGTCAAAGGCAGTTGTTGTGGACTTGGCCATGCTTAATGTGCTTAGTGATTCACGCACGGTTGACTTATAGCCTATGTTTTTGTGGCATCCACATTCAACATCCCTGCATTTTGTAAAAGCATCGCGATGTTTGATTTGCCTTTTTTTTACCCGCGTTAATCTGCATTTATTATTGACGTGAAACAAATTAACAAGCAAGCAAGAAATGTTTTTACATTTATATTTACACATACATAGTTCAGAGTTTAGGCACACGGGCTCAACATGCTGTGCAGTAGGCTGTAATTTATACTAGAATTTGTCAGTACTACAACACGTTGCAATAATCATTTTGTGGTCTTGTTATTTCTTTTGTGGCGCCTGACCCTTTTCGCACCCTGCTGCAGGCCCAGAGATGTGTATATAAACGTATTTGTGTGCATGTTGTGTATTTAAATGTATTCTAACCGTCATATTGGTACACAGTGATTATACTCGATGAACCCTACAATGTATTTGCATAAAACAGACTTAATGAGTCGCTTGTGAATCACACTTGATTTTGCAACGAAGGGCATGCACGGTTGGCATAGTACTATTTTCCTCAAGCTTTGCTTTAAATAGGGGGGGGGGGTCAATTTCATTGTTTCCAACCTAACTGTTGCAACAAACAGCGGTGCCTATTCCAAATTGCTCAAATCTATTGCCGATAGAACGCATGCGACTGTCATTAAAGAATGACGACGATGCTGTAAAGCTTTCAATTAAGTATTCCAGTGGTGGTTCACACATTTCTTTTTCCGTGAGCTATAGGGCAAGAAGGCTGGAGAGGAGTTTCCTCTGCAGCCAGGGAGCCAATGGAGGCTCTCGCATGCGCTCACATGAGTTTCTCCGGACAGTTTTTAATGACTGATATTGATGTATGGTAATTTCTTGGCCGGATCACATGACACAATTACCTCAAGAATCGATCAAGATGTATTGCAGGTCTGCCTGCGTTTCCGATTTCTTCTCCCTGGCGGGGTCTAACCAGGCGCCTGTGGTGCTGTAGATGAACAAAGTTTAACACAGTCAAGCTGCCAATTCCTCTCCTCTGTTGCAAAGAGGAAAGGGGGGAAGAAGAGATATGACGGAATACGATGATCGCAGCTGTGCGTCAAATATGTATTTACCGAGCTGTACTTATTACGTTTCGTCGCCCGATTTTACATCAGTCTCCTCCTTTTTACCGCAGACTACTTCGTGTCAGATAAATTTCCCTTATTCTTCCAACATAGCCCAAATCCAACCTGTCCGAGAAGTCGCTTTCAGGGATTATGGACTGGACCATCCTAGCAAATGGCACTACAGGGGCAATTACGCGTCTTACTACTCGACAGACGAGATAATGCACCGGGACTTGATCCAGTCCTCGGGCAGCAGGGCGGATGTGATTTTCAAAAACGACTCCTTGTACGGCCACCACGGGGGCACCAGCTCGCCGTGTAATTTCTTCAACGGTGTCGGCCGTAACGGGGTTCTCCCCCAGGTCTTCGACCAGTTTTTGGAAACTCCTAAAACAGACAAGCCCAACGCGGAGCTGCCTGGACAAAAGACAGACTCTGCTGCTGCTGAAGATGCTGCGAATAACAATCAGGATCTAACCAAACTGGAGCAGGACAAAGCTGAGCAAAGCGCTGACGACGACTCATCCTCCAACTGCGGCGACAAGAACAACCAACAGAGTAAGTGTTTTTCTCTTTGTCTGGGACATAAGGTGTACAAGTTAGACAATAGAGCGTCTGGACTGCACTGTGTCCTCCTCCGTGACCGTGCATAGTTATGTGACTCTTTATAAGCATGCAAAAGGTTTTATATCCCTATAAGATTTAGTTTACGGTTGTAAAGGTATTTACAATGGGAAACCGTTAAGTTAACCATACTTTAAAGATTGCCCTGTGTCTTATAACTGGACTGTGTTGCTGGATGTGATTTGTATTGATAGGGAATCCAATAAAATCGTTGTATTAAAGTTTATTTCATCGTGTTATAGGCAATGTCGTGCTGGTATAACACTTTCAGTGAACGCCATGCATAAACATCAGTGCGGTAAAAGTTATATTATAATGCAAAATCCGTTGTTTGTCTCATTGTGTGCGTGTGTTGCAGAGAGGGCCTTTGAGCAAACATATGCAATTAAATAAATAAATGTATCCGTCAACCTGTTATATGCATTAAGCTATAGTCTGAATTTTAGTATATGATATTAAAAATGTTCTATACGTTTTATTTTTTCTTCTGCAGGTTCATCAACCAAGTCCAGAAAGAAGAGGTGTCCTTACACCAAATACCAGCTCCGAGAACTTGAACGAGAGTTTTTCTTCAACGTGTACATTAACAAAGAGAAGCGGCTCCAGCTGTCCAGGATGTTAAACCTGTCCGATCGCCAGGTGAAGATTTGGTTTCAGAACAGAAGAATGAAAGAGAAAAAGCTCAATCGCGATCGCCTACAGTATTTTACTGGGAATCCCTTATTCTGATACCTGACACACACACACACACACACACACACACACACACACACACACACACACACACACACACACACACACACACATGGCAGGAGCTATACACACACGTCTTAAAGACTGGTCCTCCCTGCATATTTCAACCCTCATCCTCCTGTTTAAAAAGTGTATCCTACATAAATCTTGCATTTGGAAAATCGTCAAGATGCCATTTTATTTTGCAAACAATTTCAGCATTTATTTATTTGTGTTCATATATTTTCGTGTCAAATATTCCACAAAAGCGCAAGGTGTGCTTTGAAATTATTTATATCAAATATAGGCTAATTTGTATAATGTTCATTTAAAAGACGCATGCAATGCACGTTGTGGTGTGAAATAAATTAGACGGGACACATCTTATACCATAGTCACGCAACTTGCCACATGAACTTAACCAACAAAAATATCACAAAAGGGGATTTTTTTTCAAAGATTCATCAATGGGTACATTTGGTGCTTGTAGGGTAGTCCCGTTATTTCCTCTGCTTTCAACACTGGATTGTTTACTAAACCTTGAACCGTCTAGACAGTATAATAAACGCAGCTGTAAATGTCTAAATAGGGGGCTATTGTACTTTGGAGTCCCAACCCCCAGACCACAAGAGATCTGATGCTCTTTCCTTTCTCTAAGTAATTTCACTCCAGGCTACAAATCTTTGGAGAATTCAAGTGTTTTTTGCGCATCCAGTCCACATTTAGCTCCTGTTTACTCTTTTTGGCACTTGTAATGCTAGTTGTTAGCTGGGATACAATGGAGGATATTCTAAGAAGGACCGCCGTAAGAAAGGATAAGTAATTATTTTTTAACTTCATACACTATTTAGTTTCATCAATAGGCGAAATGTTGCTCTGACGTCAACAAATAAGCTGGAAAAGGAGGACTATTCCACATTTTTGGCGAAAATAGTGCTTTTCCAATCTTGAATTAATGCAGGCGAAACGTTTCCATCTTTGTTAAGATACAGTTTGCAGGGACCCAGGCTGAGTAAATTGCTTTACCTCAGTAGTTTATAACTGTTATTTTTGTAGTCAGGGGGACAACAATAAATAAACGCATTCATCCCTCACAAACAGTCGCTTTATTGATCATTCATGTGATTATTTTCACTTAAGCTCTATGCAGCAACAATTACACCCCTTGTTTCACTGTTCTTTATGAAAAAAAAAAGTTTGAATGTCTATTTTATTTTTGCGCATCACATCTACCTTTTATTTCCCAAAAAGCTATTAAAAACTGAGAGTTCATTAAGCGTTTAATTGGGTTGTCTTTATGTCCAACAGTGAAATTACGTTACCAACTGTGTAGGGTGTTTCATTTCGCTGCTCGGTGTAACCACATGAGGGCAGGCTTGCAGTTTAAACTGCAGATTGAAATGCAGATTTCAGACAAATGTCAAATCTTGCATAAACAGTCATCCAGCGGGTGACTAATCCGTTAAACACAGGTTCTGCTTACATTTGTATTTGAATAACAACTGCATCAAGTGGTTTGTATTTGTATTGTCTTCAACAGACTGTATATATACAAAAATGTAAAAGTCCAAAATCACCTAAATGTTTTCTTTTTAGATCAAACCATTAAACCCAACAAACTAGTTTTTCTAAAAAACTAAAAACACAGGTAATTTTAATACAAATGATGTATTTCAATAAAGTTTAGCTTCAGCAGCTCCCTTGTCTTCCAGGCGGCAACACATTTTCAAGTCACGTTAAGTGTTTTAAAAGACTAACAAAATCAATATATTACTAATCAGTGTTTGTCATCAGAACCTTAAAAATACAGATTTCGACATTTAGCTGAAGGCCGAAAAACCTTATGGGCCCCTGAAATATATCCGGATTGTAGGGAATTATTGACGTGCTTTGAATTTATTTAAAAGTTGCAGCTGTGTCATTATATGATCGTTTATATGCCTCTAGCTTTTTGCATTTCAAATGTTAAGAGAAACAGTTTATCAAAAAACAGACAGAAGTTTTGCCTGAATCTGCAACAATATCGCTTTCCCTTTTTTTAGCACCCCAAGGCCCATATTTGTTAATGGCTATGCCCTTGTGTTTTGTGTTTGTAAAATAAGAAAATCTCCTTGTATTTGCTTTAAAAACAGTATTATTATTATTATTATTATTATTATTATTAGCCTACTATATGACACAACGTCAAATTAGTTTTTCCAGTTTTACGGTACTTGTGTACATTGTGTGTATTAATTGTTGATTATACCTGAAGAATATACTCCCCTATTGAAGTTTATTTTTATTTCAATGCGTTTCATGATATGCAAAATAGCTCAATATTATCTTTGATCAATTTTCATTTTTAGAACAGAAATGGTGTCTGTGTTGTCAGATGTCTCAGTGAAATGTTATTTCTTCTTCATGTAAAATAACCAACGTGGTATTACAAAAAAATGTATTTTTTACACATACTCTGTGATTAAATTTGGGTTAATGAGCCTTTTTTGTTTGTCAATCCTGTGATTTCGAGATGAGATGCATATATGCTATTTTAAAACAAGAGCCTTGAAGACGGATATAAATAGCCTTTCAAAAAAAGTTGTAGGATTAGAAACTTGTTGCATAAATACCAAATATATAATTATTTCATGCTGTATTTACTATGTTTTATACAGACCTGTAGGATCGTTGCAATAATTGTGCCTTGACTTCGGTTGATATTTTCGAGTACCAAGTGTTTTTATTTTTTCCTTTAGTTTACCAGGCACTATGTTTGTCTTGCACACATTTGCCTTCCTTTAAGACACAAACAATGGACCCCTGAGCAAAATAATCCCCAGACTGTGCACCACCAGGTTTTATTCTCAACATCGGAAATACTTGTAAAAAAAATGCAAACACAGACATTTTGCTAAATATCTGTGTAAACAACAAAGGACAGTTTTCTATTCGTTTTAAGGGAAATTTAGGAAAGGTTCCGCATTGCAAAGATATGATGATGCAAAAAGAGCTATTTTAGTTAATTAATTCTAATAAGGGAATGGCATATCCATTGTACCTTAATTTCTTCTGATTTGCTGCAAGAAATGCAATGGTCTTTGTCATTAAATCGAATAGTTATGTGCTGTTAATCAGATAAATAAATCAGGAGAGTGAATGTGTGAACAACCCCAAACCCTGAAAGAATGAAGGAATGACAAAGCAAACAGTGTTATTATCAAATTCCAATCTTTATTTTTGTATCGATTATTAGTATAATTCAGACAGTAAAACATGTGTTTTTCCTACACGGTTAATGTGGACTGTGTTGTTGGTGTGTATGGTTTATATGAATAAAGAAGGCATTCAATTAGAAATGGTTATATTATTTAAAAAAAAAACTCTTCTATGCGGCATAGGCTATAGGCAGCATTTTACACGTACACATGCATTCATTTCCCTCTGACTCTACCACAAAGAAGCATATATATCCTTTTCAAGTATTTATCTCATTGAAAACATTTCATAGATAGACTGCACACGTAACATTTACATGAAAGTGGACTATTTTCTGATCGCAAATTGCATTTTTAAAAGATGTGATTGTTTCAGTTTTGATTGAACAGCCAGTTAAGTCTGCAAACCAATTTCAAGTCCGTGTAGTAGGGGTCGCTGTTGACCACGTCTGATCTGCAGCAGAGCGTGTGTGCAGGGAGAGGAGGCTGCGTCTCAAGGCCATTTTCAAATCTCATTGGTGGGCTTGTCATGTGGTCGGGAGGCATCCTGACTTACACGGAGATTGTTTTTCCTAGATATGTCATCTTACAAAGGACATCTCTCTCCTCTTAAGAACTTAACCCCCCAAAATGTCCTTTCCCAGTAGCTCTCCTGCGGCAAACACCTTTCTAGTGGACTCTTTATTAGGTGCTTGCAGGTCGGACAGCTTTTACTCCAGCAGCAACATGTACATGCCGTCTGGCTCAGAAATGGGAACTTACGGAATGCAAACCTGTGGACTCCTGCCGTCTTTCGGCAAAAGAGGGGAAGTCAACCACCAAAATATGGGCATGAATGTCCACTCGTACATACCTCAAATAGATAACTGGACTGATCCGAACAGACCCTGCAGATTAGAGCCGTCCACTCAGATGTCAAACTGCACATTTTCACAGAGCATAAAGGAAGAGAGTAACTGCTGCATGTACTCGGAAAAGAGAGTGCAAAAAGTCAGCTCGACAGAGGTCCCTGCATATTCCAACGTTATTTCCCAGTCTTGTCCTGTCGATGGTCCCGAGATTCCGGTGCCGGGCTATTTCAGACTGAGCCAAACTTATGCGAATGGGAAACATCCGGAAAACTACTGCCATGAGCCGCCGAGTCCAAACCCAACACTGGTGCAGCTCAGCCGGGTCACCCCGAAACCGCAGTCGTCCTCGGCGCCTTCAAATTTTGCAGAGGAGAAAAAGAAATGTGAGGTTGTACCGCAAAACCCCGAGACCTCAAGGACCCCGGTCCCCGCAGACAGCCCGGATCCAAGGTCTAGCTCCGGGGAGAAAAACTGCTCCATGGAAGCCCCAGTGTCCAGCCCTGAGCTGCTAAAAGAAGGGAAAGGTGGGTTGGCTACAGTAAAGCTTTTATCTTGTGGCGCTGCAGTGAAGGCTTCAGCATCATAAAACCAAGTATAAAACACAAACAACCCTAAAGTCGTAATGTTTAATGAGAGTCTTTCTCAGGTTGCAGTAATGGGCAACAGAGAATGGTTTTACCATGCAGCATGCAGACTGTGTGTCAGTCTTTCCTCCTATTGAAATTCTAATGTGCACTTAAAAAAAACGTTTTCCCATTGTGTTGCTTTATGTTCTGCATGTTGCACTGATTTAAAAGCAAAAACAAATAATCTAAGAGTAGTTTAAATGTTTGCATTATTGCAAAATGTCTTTACTCGTGGAAACTATAAAATTGGTGCATTTGCATCTGTGTAATTCTAGATAGATGAGTCTGTGACTTTCGTTAGAAGATAATCATAACACTGTTAGAAAGTATCTTTAAAATTGATGATTGTAACAATGTTATGAAGTGTTAATGCATTTGAAGCATTGATGTAATTAAACAGATGTTCTGCACATGTTTAAAGCTTTATAAAGATGAGGTCAGTGTGGTTTGATCACAATCAAAAGTGATAATTTAATTTCCATTTCAATTGGAAAGAAATTTGATTTGATTTAGTTTTTCTGGGAAAACATGTATATTGTGTGTTATTTCCCAGAGGTAAAATCAAAATTAGCAGGTGAGACTTTGTTCAAAATAAATCACTAACTGGTTTTTAATCTCTACAGATTGCAAGAGTGCCCCTCCAACAAGCAACTGGTTAACTGCAAAAAGTGGAAGAAAGAAAAGATGTCCCTACACAAAGCACCAGACCTTGGAGTTGGAGAAGGAGTTTCTCTTCAACATGTATCTGACCCGAGAGCGCCGCCTAGAGATCAGCAGGGGCGTCAACCTGACCGACAGGCAGGTCAAGATCTGGTTTCAGAACCGCAGGATGAAGCTGAAGAAAATGAACAGAGAAAACCGCATCCGAGAACTGACCTCAAATCTCACCTTTTCGTGAGCCTGCATGTAACTGTGGTTAGCTGTGTTTCATGTTCTCTCATATTCAGTTTGATGCTTTAGTGACATTTTGACATTTAGAGCATTGGACGTTTATCCTCAATTTCAACGAAACTGTGAATATAGGCCCTTAGCCAATTTTAGTACTTTCTGTGGTGTCGTGTAGGCCTATTTGCTTTATTTTATCACAGGGTTACACTTCTAAGTCTTAAATTATTGAAGTAGATTTCTTCTTTGTAGCCAGTAGACCTGGACATTTAATGTATCGCGATGACGAGCTGTTTGTAAAATATTTCCTCCTTTCCAGTCATGAAAGCACATTTTATTGTCTTGTATAGTGCAACATTTGTTTTGCAGTAAATGCAAGCCATTTGCTCAACAGTGAAATGTTTCTATGGCGGAATACAATGTTAATCTGTGAAATTGTTGCATGTTTGTGGCATGTATCTTGCAATAAATTGTCAAATAATCTTGTTTTGTTTTTCTTTGTGCTATACCAAAGTATCTCATCTGACATCATCTTATTGGTGAATGCTATGCCACCGCCGGAATCTGCGGTATTTGCATTGACGCAGACATTAGTTTGCTTAAAACGGTTATGAAGAGGAGGCAAATAAAATAGATTTTCTAAAGGAGCCTTTTGCACTTTGTAGCACGAAAATAAATGGTGTTCCAAAATGTTCCTAATGCGCAGTATACTTCCGTGCGTAAATGCTGTCTATATGTGTACAATTAAACTCTAATTTCACTAAATTATATCTCAATTCTATACATTTTGAGCTTGTAGCGTATTGAAATGCTAGTAGCCCACTAACTAAACATTGTTTAAAACAAGGTTTAGTTAGTGGGCTAGCATTTCAATGCATGTGTTTTGTACAAGATTTAGCAAATTCTTATCAATTATATTTAAACTCCTTAAAGAGAAAGTGTAAGACTGATGTTTGTTAAATCAAACGTATTAAAAATAAATAAAAAAACATATCGAAATGTCTCGGCCTTTGCGTACGAAGAGTGCAGCAACATGGACAAATATAGTCGGAGGCTGTGATATGAAATACAAATTGTGTTTTAATTTCCAGCAGGCCTGTTTGTTGCTAAACTAACAGTCTATATGAAACTATCAGGCGGACTAAGTTATGTTCAAGCACAAATTCACAGGCAAGCCTCAGCATTTCCTTTCCCCCGAGCGACACAGGCCTCCGTAGCCACGTAGCTATTATTATTATTCTCATGGTGAGGAATAACTTTATATGTTCAGATGATCTGAGATGAAATGGTCACTCTGAATTGCAGTCTGCAGATTTGTCCTATGCTTGGCTATTAATGTGCGTATTTTTCTGGACTGAAGGTAAACTTAGAATGTTTCAAAACAAGCGAAAATGTGTATTTTGCTCAAAAAGAACTATATTTATGTTAGAGTTGAATTACACCTTCCACATAGCAACATACAGATGGACTAAGCTTCTCCTAGTCTTTTCTTTTTTTATTGACGGCATGTATAATCACACGCACCTCATAAAACATTTATTGATGCATAAAGACATTATTGCCCTCCTTTGAATGAATACAACTATTTCACAAGTAGCGTTTCCGGCTTAGCTTTTAAAAATTAAAACAAACCTGAAAATAGGTTTTCTAGCCTATTATTAACAAAGGATTCACTGCATTGTGAGCGGAAATGGCGACTGTTATTTTACAGCATGTTATTACATCTATTTTACGAGGACTCCGTAAGTCTATAAAGAATTTTACTAGCATTGAGGGTATCAGGACGATATTAGAAGAGTTTCCTATAACATTAAGACACGGGGTGTTTGACTGTGTGTGGGGGGGGGATGTGTCTTATTCATTTTCTGACCTGCTTGCATTGTTGCAGGGTCCTGCACCACCCGAAAATGAAAAAAATAGAAAAGATAATAATTTGAATTC